ACAACCGAGTAGCCAAGTACTGTGGGTGACTGCCATCCGTCTAGTATCCCACCTCTACAACAACCTGGGCTTTTTAAAAGGAAAAAAAAAAAAAAAAAAAAAAAAAAGTAATTCGAGCCATCTGCACCCGGAATTCCAAACCACATAGGGCATATTACTCCTGTCTCTTATACACATCTAGATGTGTATAAGAGACAGTTCAGGTACTTTGCATCGTCCTGGCTATGGGCACCATCATCCCACCATGTGTATAAGTTCCAGGTGAAAAAATAAAATAAAATGGGCACCACTGCTCTTATGTGTTATGTTCATCCGTTCTTTAAAAAAAAAAAAAAATGGTGCCCGCTATGTTGTCTACCTGGCTAGAGGCAGCATGCATGTACCTTTCAGATACAATCATACAACATATGGGCACCAGCCGCGCCAGCATGCATGTGGACCTGTGTTTGCCGAACCCAGTCGGTTTTTTTTTCTTTTTTTTTTAAGGCCTCCCATTATGCTTGCAGGGACACGTGATGAACACCTCCCCCCCCCCCCCCCAAAAAAAAAAAAAACCCCCCATTGTGCAGAACACAAAAGAAGAAGGTAGTGACAAAAAAGTGACAGCAGAGTGACGACAGGGGCAACACATGAAATCCTGAAGTGGGGCAGTGTGGGCAGCACTTAAACCATCAGTACTTCCGAAAGTTGTGCCCGTTAACAAGCCACATTTTTAGGAAGCGTACGGGCCACTACAGGAGCGCCCACATTCATCCGACTAGAAACGTGTTTACTCTATTCTTTCCCGCGGCCAATAGCTGGGCCAAGTACTGGTGGTTTAACGCGGAGTCACTGTGTCAGGGGGTGATGAGATGAAGCAGAGGCTAACGCCCACCCCCCCTAAGAAGATGACACAATCACACGCGGGCAACGAACTCGTGAGTGGAGTTTGAAAGGGCAACAAAAGCATTTTTAAAAAGGGCAACAAAATCAAAAGGGGGCCACAACCATTTTCCCCGATATTGCCCTAAGCTTGTCAAACTCCGCACCCGATTTTGATGCTCACACGTGTTTTTTTTGCCCTTTCGAAACCCAAAGCGTGACACTGCCCGACTTGTTTCAAAAAACAAAGGAATGTTTTCTGCTTACTGCGAAGTGTTCAGCTCTCAGCTAGTATAGAGGGGAAATGGGGAGGCATAAGGAAAAAAGGGAGGATGTGTGGTGGTAATGATGTTGCATAGGAGGGAGAAAGGAGGAGGGGGAGGACAGGAGGAAGAGCAGGAGGAGGAAGAGGAGAGCAGGAGGTGTAGGAGGTGGAGGTCGTGGAGGAGAGGAGGAGAGGAGGAGGAAGAGGAGGAGGAAGAGGAGGAGGAGGAGGGAGAGCAAAGGAGGAGGAGGAGAAGGGTGAGGGAGTTGGAGGAGGAGGAGGAAGAGGAGGAGGAGGAGGGAGAGCAAAGGAGGAGGAGAAGGGGGGGGGGGGTGTTGGAGGAGGAGGAGGAGGAGGAGGAGGAGGAGGAGAGGAGGAGGAGGAGGAGGAGGAGGAGGAGGAGAAGAAGAAGAAGGGACAGACGAAATATCACCCTGCCGCACTCAAAAAGATAAGGTCAGTTTTCTGTCGAGCTTGTTTCGCAAGAGGGACAGGAGGGGGGGGGGGGGGGGGAGGGAGGGGGTGTTGGAGGAGGAGGAGGAGGAGGAGGAGGAGGAGGAGAGGAGGAGGAGGAGGAGAGGAGGAGGAGGGAGAGCAAAGGAGGAAGAAGAGGAAAAGCAGGATCGGTTCTGGCTTTGCTACCTCATCATTCATTACCCATCCACCTCCAGTTATTTCCATTTGTTTTGCTTCGACAAGCATCTTCAGCTTCTCCCTCTGCGAACGGGAAGCCTCTTCCCACCAAAGTTGGAGAAAACTAGTCTCTGTCCAGATGAATTTCCTTCTCCTATCCTATGACACAAGAGCACATCAACAACCACCTTCTTAAACTTTCATGACAATTATATGCACATACGTAAAACTAATGGAAAACAAAATGAACGAGCTCAAAGTTAACATTATTATTTATTAACATGCAAGGCCATCGGATTTTTGCATTGTATTGTATTGATTGAAATTGGAAAAGAAACCCCCTTTTATAGGATCCATCCATCCCCTGGAAAAATTGGAAAACACATGACCAGACTTAGGGGTGGGCCTCATTGGCCCTACCCCTACCTACTCTCATGCTTGGAAAGCATGAACATGGCTGTAATTGTGAAGAAATTCGTGCTTTCCTAGCATGAAGTGCCATGACCATACTACCGGTCGTCCCTGGCCCTTTTTTATCTTTAGTTTTAGTTTTTTGGAAAACTTCACAACTTTTTTTTTTTTTTTTTTTTAATTAATTTGGAAAACTTCCGAGACCCAGTGTCCACTACTTAAAAGGGTGATATTAAGAGCACTGGAGCGTCCCCTCGAAGTGGTTCCGGGTGTTGAAGGCTCCATCTATTGGTGGGGAGCAGCACCTGGTCTGGAAACCCAATTTTGCAGAGGCACCTACTTTCAGGGGGAGGGGGTAGGGGTCCGGAGCTTTTGGAAATTCGTTCACGAAACCAGCCACGACTCTCTCCCCCGTGCTGCCACGAGGAGGCCCAGAGAAGAAACAGCCGAATTATTTTCCCTGTCCGCTCACAGCGGAAACCTGTGGGATTTCTTTCTCACGAAAGTACCCCTACTAAGGATTGTGGGATCCATGTCCTTCGGGACATCACAGCCGCTAAAAAAATGGAACTGGAAGTTGGAACGGTACAGAGAGAGAACAGCTGTCTGGTCAGGTCACCCCTCCAAGATGGCAATGGGTGATGGTCCTGGGTGGTTAACACTAGGGTAGGACAGGGGGGGTGGGGGTGCGCCAGGGCAAAAGATAAGAGGAAGGGTGGGTGGGGTCTTCAGAGGGGTTCATCTGGACAACCGAGTAGCCAAGTACTGTGGGTGACTGCCATCCGTCTAGTATCCCACCTCTACAACAACCTGGGCTTTTTAAAAGGAAAAAAAAAAAAAAGAAAAAAAAAAGCCAATTACAGTGTGTCTTAAGACTCTTAACGATCTGTGGGCAGTTAATTACCTCCGTCAGCGCGTTGATGATGTTGTTCAAAATGCCCTTTGTTCTCTCGTAGAAGTACTCCTCGAAAGTGTGAATCCATCCCGGGTCATTGTGTGAATGTGGAACGACGAACACCCTCAGGGGGCGATGATCCCATTCATTGCCAGCGTACTTCAGATCCCAGCCCTGCCTCCACACTCCGCCTTCCAGATTCAAAAAGGGTATAGACTCCATCAAAGAAAGGGTATTAATAATGACTGATGGAAATGACATCGTCTGCCTCTGCGGATCCCTGTCACCTCTGCTGGGCAGCTCGCCAGCTGCAGCAACGGCACCGCTGGTCACATCTCCACCACCCTTGCCGCCGTCCCCCGCTCTCTCTCCGCTTGCGCCTCGAGTATCAGTCGTTCCACTGCCGCTTCCGCTTGCGCAATCGCTCCCCGCACCATCGCTACAATCCGCGCGATCCGTCCGGGTTGCTCTTCCTGCCGCGATCGGGGCATTCGAGGTCGAAGATGTCGATGAGGATAGCGAAGAAGAAGAGGAAGAAGAAAGGAGAGGGGTGTTTAGTATGCGCGGGAAGGGAGGGCGCCGGACGGCGGAGCGAAGGGGGGAGGAGGAGGAGGAGGAGGAGGAGGAGGAGGAGGAGGTGAGCTTTTTGGAGACGACGATCGTGAGGAGAGGAACGTGCACGACAACCCTCAAACTGGCCAAGCTATACATCATGGTGATCATAGTACCCATTATGAGAAACGTGCTGAGCTGCTTGCAAATCCTACTACTCAGCTGTTTCCCTATAGTAGATCGCCATCGCTGCCGCTTCTTCACCAGTAGAACGGCCTTCTCGTCGTCCGCATATGAATCGCTATTACTAGTGATAGTACTAGCCGCAGCAACACTATGCGGCCGCCTACCGCTCCTCATGATTGCAGACAGGGAAAAGCCTGCAAGTGTCATTTTCAGTTTATGAACGTGATTCTCTCTCTCTCTCTCTCTCTCTCTCTCTCTCTCTCTCTCTCTCTTTGCAGGGGGGTGGATCACACTGTACGTCCTTTAATCTCTGGCAAAATCTGACGAAGACAAATACTGCAAAGCAGACCCAAGATGTTGTTAAAGAATCATTACAATTCTGGGAGGAGGAGGAGGAGGAGGAGGAGGAGGAGTGAACTCAGTAAAGAGCTGGAAGGCGACCCCACCCTCGAGGCTGCATGGGGTTACATACATGTAGCCGACGATCAACAGATCATCAACCCGTTAAACATACAGAAAGAATTCCATTGTCACAGACTACACCTTAAGCGGGGGCGGTGGGGAGGGGGGAGGGAAGGAGGAGGGGGGGAGGGGAAGAGAAAGAAGAGAAACAAGTATCAGCTGAGAGGACACTGTAGTGTAGGCAGCGCGTACTTTTCCAAGATAACTCTCGCGATCAACAACTCTGTCTGACGACTGTGTTGCAGAGACAGGCGCTAATCTTCACAAGGACTATCGTTGTACTGCTTCTGCTCTCCCTCGTAGTCCTCGCTTTGGCTTCTACCAGACCCCTACGAACTAAACCCATAAGGGCCATAACGCGTAATCTCTCAACCACCTACCACCCACCCACCACCTAATAGCCATGACGCCACCTGATGAGGCGCACGTGTCCCCGTTTGTAGCGTACGTTGGCCTTCGTGCAGCAAGCTTTGCTGATCAGCGTGTACTCTGATCAGGTTAACCACATACCCCATCTGGTTAGCGTTTGTACAGTTTAGAGTACTCTACAGGTTTACCAAATCGATTGTGCGCAAGGAGGCAGCAGCGTATCGACGTACTATTTGACAGCCGGGGCGACTTCTGCCACTCCCTCCCTCCCTCCCTCCTTCCCTCCCTCAATCGTAATCACCCCCTCACAGGCTCACACAACCACCTTCCACAAATACCCAGCCTTTCGAACCAGTGCCACTTCCTTACCTTCCATATTTCAGATCGACTTCTCACTTGTCAGCGAATTCAGAACATAGCATTCGACTCCCAACAGCCGAATCTGGCCATAATTACGATCACAAACATTCAGAAAAGAAGAAATGAACATGTCCACATTTTCTGATATCAGTACTGTTGCCCAGAATGCCTCGTCTCGCAGCGGATAGGCAGTTGCAGTGCTCCCTTCTGTGTCCCTTCCGCACTCCCTCTCGGACCCCCTCCCAATTTATGATTGCGCAGTAAGTGTTGCAAACTTGCAGTGCTCTCCCTTCTGTTCCTCCCGCATTGAATTTCCCTCCCCATCTACCGAACAACCCAGCTGGTACCTATCTTGACCCGACCGATCTGTGACCCAAAATTTGGGAAGCCATGCTGGTTCGTCGAGCTGAAACGCTATCTTGCAGTTGCAGTGGGAGATGGTCCGTGACCGTCTCCCACTCCCTACTCTCCTCCCTCTCCTCCCTCTCCTCCCTCTCCTCCCTCTCCACCCTCCCTCTCTATGGTTATCTAGACACCGGCCAGTTCTTGGAACGTAGTCGGCATCTAGGACACATTTCATCCGAAGATCGCCGACTATGATCATTACAGCCCAACTCTTACGTGAAAGGCCGAAAGAGGAGAGAGGAGAGGGGGGGGGAGAGGGGGGAAGGAGGTTATAGAGGTCCCCACCAGCCCGCGGTGGTCCTCTTCTTCACTGATATCCCCGTACTCAGACTACGAGGGCTTCCTTGTACTGTTGTACATCAAGCCAGAGATACATCCTTGGACTCGGGATGTCCTAGTGGGAGTACTACGCACTGACTCTCTCCTCTCACCTCCTCCTGCCCTTTTCTTCTTCTCCCTCGAATGGCCCATGGAGGGAAAAAGTCAGATCCTTGACTACCGTCTTCCCCCGAACACAACGCAACCTCATCATGAATGTATACAAGCTATCTTTGCGGCCAGACGGTGGCAGGCACAGTTATGATGAGGGTGCGTTGTGTTCGGGGCAAGAAGGCGTTAGACTGCGCACCTGTTTCTGGTCGACATGGGGAGTAGCCCCTCATCTGATGTCCAAGTCTCTCTCGTCGCCTTTGCGAAACCTGCCCCCCCCTCCAAAAAAAAAAAAAAAAAAAAAAAGAAACCTGCCCCCCCCCTCTCCGATAAACGTGTACGAGTTAGTTTTGGTTACAAAAGAGTGTTCGTTTGTGATGGCCAGTTTCTATCGTGGAGCAAAACAATTTACGTGTTTCGAGTAATAATAGCATAAAAAGAACACCTGCCCCTCTCTACTTCTTCCTCGAATGCCGCCGCACGTGGAAAGTAGGGTCCATGCGTGCATGGCCAGGCTACGTACTACAAGCTTTTCTAGCTGTCCGAGCTGTCTCACAGTGGCTGTCTTCCTTTTGCTGCCAGCCAGCCTAGGACTACACTATGTTCAGGCAGAGTTGCATGAACCTCGCCCATTTTCATAGCTGCATTCGTGTCCTCGTCCATGGGCAAAACGCTGGTAGCCAGATCTGGGCCTCAGCAGAGACCTCCTCCTACTACCACTTCAGCACCTGGCCTACAGGTTCTACACTATGTTCATGCAGAGTTGCATGAACCTCCCTCATTTTCATGGCTACATTCGTGCCCTCTTCCATGGGCAAAGCGCTAGCCAAATCTGGGCCTCACTCTCTCGTCAACACCCCAAGCAGAGACCTCCTAGGCTCCTACTACCACCTCAGCACCTGGCCTACAGGTCCTCTCAAGACCTACCTGTTCTATGTCAGCACAAGGGCCACCCCTTGCAGGACACTGCCTCCTTAGTGTAGCACTTCCAGGAGCTCCCTGCATGGAAACTTAATGTATTAGACTATATTAGTCATGGGCCAACAACACGACGACTTTGTGGAAGGAATCCAGTCGTAATTGCAGTTGAATACGTATTCAACTGCAATCGATATATTGCAGTTACGGTATCCAGCCGTAATTACAGACCGATACGTTCAAGAAAGTGCAAGTCGCGAGTGCGAAGTTCGCCCTCGTCAGTGAACTCCTTATACACGCAACTTAACGCCCGTCATTTTCCGCAGTCTGTAGACTCTGGAGACTCTGGAGACTCTGGAGACTTTGGAGACTCTGGACACTCTGGACTCTGCAGCGGGCAAGTCAGCGGGCAAGATTTGAGTGTGAAAAGACAACCGACGCCTCGCACCCGCTTCTCGCTAAGCTCGCGCCACCTCTCTCTCTCTCTCTCTCTCTCTCTCTCTCTCTCTCTCTCTCTCTCTCTCTCTCTCTCTCTCTCNCCCCCCCCCCCCCCCGCGTCTCTCTCTCTCTCTCTCTCTCTCTCTCTCTCTCTCTCTCTCTCTCTCTCTCTCTCTCTCTCTCTCTCTCTCTCTCAACCAACCCTCCTCCCGCGTATCCCTCGAGTCTCTGGTTCGTCTCCTCATCCCCTGCCTCATCTCCAACGCCTCACGGTAGAGAATCACCCAGCCACTTAGCGGATAAAGGAACTAACGATTCCACGACCAACACCATATCTTGCACTATTCGCGAAGGGATTGACTCCTGAGACAAAAGAGCATCTATATAGATCTGTAAACCTACTCCTCCGGTACACCATCCGAACTGACTGAGCCTATTGACAGTCTAACTGTTAACTACTACCGTAGTAGTTGGCAGCAGCCGCACCACCACCAACAGAATGCCTCATCATCGCGTCAGTATATGGGATGAGAAGAACTAGAAGGAGAAGGAGAAGGAGAAGGAGAAGAGGAGAAGGAGAAGAGGAGAAGGAGAAGAGGAGAAGGAGAAGTGGAAGGAAATACCTATGGGAACCACAGGCAGGCAGGGATGGAGACTGCTCATGGAGAGCTTCTTCAAACGAGTATAGAGTCAGTACAGCAAGTACGTTATGTGCGTGAGGCACTCGACGTCGCCCACACCCATCAACACGGAAAAAACTTGGTCTTTCTTGGTTTTTGGGCACTTCCTGCACCCGATGTCGCCCACATGCAGTCCACTTCGCCCACACCCATCAACACAGAAAAGACTTGGTATTTTGGCACACTTCCATGCCGTGCCATCCGATGTCGCCCACATCCTCGCACTTCACCAACGTCTTCGGACGATCCAATATATCACAACGCACCCTCCTTAAGACTATGGGCCTCGCTGCACTACTCTCGAAATGTGCAAAACGAGAGTGAATCTTCCGCTAGAATATGGAAAGATGCACCGCCATGATTTTTGTCTTTTGTGCATGTAGAGAGTAGTGCAGCGAGGCCCTATAGAGGCTCGAGGACAAGACTATAATAATCGGTCGTGACGGAAGAAAAACTTGGCAATTACTACCGTCTTCCCCCGAGCACAACGCACCCTCATTATGAATGTATAGAGGGTAGGTTTCCGGTCCGATGCACTCAAAATGAGGGTGCGTTGTGTTCGGGGGAAGACGGTAGTGCTGTTACAATCATCAATGATGGTGACTGCATAATAATATATCGTATCCTCATTATGGCTAACGAATAGAAGAATGAAAAATGCTATATAAAAAAATAAATAAAAAAAATGCTCGTTTAAACGAGGTACGAAGTACTGTAGGAACGATGAGAGAAGATTAGAATGGTCCCTGCCAATGGATGACATCCATAAAATTTAAACCGAGAAAAAAATATACTCGTTGTCGGCTGCGCTCTGACTGGGCGTATGTTGATGTACTGTCCTCTACGGGTAGCAGATGCAGTATGGGAATAGTGGAAAAAACACTGGAAAAAAAAAAACGAAAAAGAAAAAGAAAAAAGAAAAGAAAAGAAAAGAAAAGAAAAAACATTGGTGTCCTGCCCGAGGACATTCGTGTTAAGGGTCTCGTTAGACACTCCTAAAAGTGCCTGTTTTTAGGATTGTGTCTTGGCTGCACGCAATCCTAAATCCAATTTTGAGATTGAAAATGTGAAAAAGGCGTTAGGACGAGTCCTAAAGGATTTAGGATTCCCCTCCTAAATTTTCCAGTAGCCCCTTACCTACTGAAAAATTTAGGATTCCCGCATTTCACGGACTCGTTGCGTCGTGCGCATGGCACTGTTGACACGGAGTTGCTGGTGCAGAAGCGGTCCG